CCGTTCCATCCTTCCCTCACTCGTGAACAAGACCCCAAGATACTTTTTTTGCCAGAGGTGTTTAAAATTGTATTCTCTTTTTGTCTTTGCACAATTATTTAGGTGTGTAATTCAAATCCCTATATGCAGACTGCAATAAAAATAACTATATAAAACAGTGGTAGTATGATTAACAGAGACAATAACAGAATCTCAAATACAAGAAATACATGCGCATGCATAGCTTACTGCAGGTATTTCAGCCAGCTGGTTTCCATCAAGCCACAAGTCCTTTAAACTGACAAGACATCCTATTGACTCTGGCTAAGTGGGAGGAAGAAATATAGAAATTCAAAGGGTGGGAGCAGGGAATACGGAAGAAAGAGACAATAAAAGACAAAGCACAAATATAGAGGATTAGTTCTTCAGTTCATAATGTGTACGCTCAGCAAGTATAAAAAATATTTTTAAAAAGTTAAAGAAAAATGGGTTACATTAATTATTACATGTAGACAAACCCCACCTATCTAAATAACTGACTTAACATACACACGACTGAGGATTCAATTATAAATAAAATTACTTTTTTTTTTCCCATAGTCTGTCACTAAATATTTTACCGAGTCTGGCTGCTCACACAAGATTGCAACTTGCTCACCCCTCATTTGGTACTTTTGCGGATGTATGAGAGTGTTGCCAAACATAATTTTATTGTTGTTACTAAGTAATAATAATAATAATAAACTTTAACTTAACTTTAAAACCTGTAATGCAGGCATTTTCTGAGTAAGCAATTTCCTTTAGTCAAGAAAAACAACAACAACACTTACCAAATTGTATAGTTCATTACTTCCTAGGTCAAGTTCTTCAAGTCTTTGAAGCTGAGATAATGATCTGCAGATGATAGATACAAGGAAAATTCAAAATACAGTACAGTCTAAATAAAAATGTGGCACGATGAGCATGCAGGCATGCGCGTGCACACATACACACACACACACACACGCGCGCGCATGCTTGCAGAGGTGGCACACCTGGTTGAATACTTACTCTGGCAGGAATGTCAGCAGATTTTCTCTGAGTTCTAGTGCCACCAAATTAGAAAGCCTGTAATGACAGGCAAAAAGAAATGGCCTATGATTATACATTTCTAAAAATGTTGTGAAGTACAGTTTCTAGCCAACTTCTACTCATGTCTCTACAACGCAGACATATTTTATACAAAATGCTCTGATGGTTTTTGTAGACAAAGAGTTTTCAGTGAGCTAAAAATAGCCATAGTACATCTTGCAATCAGATATCTGAGAACAGGAAGTTCTTTGGAGGTGTGTCTGTCTTACCAAGGCTGTAAAATTGCAGCAGCATAAACAACTGCTGCATGCTTTTAATGAAGAGTAAATGGCATCACATGCCAAAGTACAGGGCTATCTTCTTGCAGCACTGCTTACGAATGCCTCAGGGCTATACATGCAGCCTATTAGTCCAGTACAAAATCCATCTTGTTGATCTGAGCCTAGACTAAATAATTCACCCTTTGTGTGGTACTAGAAATGGGCCAAGGATTCAACATCTTTTTCAGCATTTGCCTAATCTAAATAAGCCAACAAACAGTCACACAGGTAATGACTTGTTTAAACATTTCTTGTCAGTTTCTAGACGGATAAAAAGCTTCTACGGCAGCAATGTAGTTTACAATTTACAAAGTTCAGCCATGTAGACTGAGCCAAAGAGATCAACAGAATCTGGAAGGTATGCTTAAGCTGGTTCTAATCAACATGAGATATAACTGCTACTTTCTGCTAATCTTGCTTCCTGTGAGTGTTTTCCATTCAGAGAAGCAGATCACTGAGCTGGAGATTAAAAGACAGGCAATATCTTCCCACTTCCAGTATACTAAGTTTCAAATCTGGCTTTAGCTAAATGATGAAAACAGCCACCTAACTGCATCAAGCATCTCAAATTTCTAGGACTGTCCTTTTTCTTTTTTTTGTCACTCCCCCCCATCTCAGGAGACAAACAAATGAACCCATGAACATTTATCTTATCCCCTTCCAGAGCATGCTGGTCCAACTATGTTACGGTTTTCATTACCTTCTTCCCTTGACAGCGAGCAGGCCTCAAGTCATTGCATTATATAAGACTGATATGAGACATATGTGGGGCACATGCCATAGCATGAGGAGCAGGGTGTGAGGACTGAAGAGACTGCTTGAACTTGAGGTGACTTTGTTAAGTAGGAAAACTAAGTTATAAAGGTAACGCTAAAATCAAAACACTGTAAATATATACATATATATGTATGAGAGAGAGAGTGAGAGAGAGAGAGAGAGAGAGAGAGAGAGATTAATAAGCCCATATTCTTCTATGCTCGGTCTGTACCTGCTGCCTACAGAATACTGAAATTCTAAAAGGACCTGTAATTTTTCCTAAAACAAACTGTTTGAGAAGGCCATAAAATAAATTCTCTAGATGAAAAACACTGTGCTGCTAGGAAACACATGGTTTGCAAGAGGGCAGCCTACAAATCAGAGGCATTAATGGCATTTCCAATGCAATATTCAGTTCAAAGCAACCAAAAACTTTGATGTCAGAATGGATGTCTGAAGCCTATGAACAAGTTTGAACATGTGGAATAATATTTATACAGCTAATACAGAACCTGTGGAAAGCGCAACACAGCTGCTAAATTTTTAGCCCCGTTTTAGCCCCTGATCAATTACAGCTTGGATCTTCATCAGAAAATCTCTGTGGTGTTTTGTCCCTCATTTACATCCACCATTAGGCCAAACAGTGTATGTGTATGGCAGCACATTAACATCATGCCAGAACAGTCCATCTAAAAATGGCTCATTATTTATTTATTTCAAAGTCTAAAGTCTTGACCTGTGAATGCTAAAAGAGGCAGCAATGATCTTTTCTTGTCAGACACTCATCTACCATCCACAAATTATCTCTGAGGTTAAGTAATAATGCATAATTTATGACTCAGGGTCAAACCGAGACAAATCTCTGTGTAGTTTTGCTCCAGCTGTTTGAGAAGTTATTTAATGGTTCAACATAAATAATCATTTAAAACATACTACAGGACAACACAGCAGTGATCGACCTAAGAAAGGGGCCTTTAAATGACATCTCTCTGTTTTTTTGTATTTTTAATTCTGTTGGCTGATAGTATCTTATGAGAAAGCCAGTCAAACAACAGAATATCAACATTTCTAACCCACGGTGCCTATCTAGAGTAATCATATCCACTGAAATCCACCCCTAAGAGGGGTTAAATTCAGTTTCTTTTGAATTCCAAACTTGTACTAAAAACACATGCCCGACAACATCTCCTAAAAACATCCCCTGTTAATTTGACCTAAAGGCACATTATTTTGTTATTAAATCCAATTATAACTGCACTCAACAATAGTAATGTTGGCAGACATGTCTTTTCAATACCCTGGATAATACTGTATGCCATCACACAACAAGCCTTGTCCAAAAATCACATTAAAGGCACTTGGTGAGCAGGTTGCAGCTCAGCGGCACAACTAAGGCATGTACTAGCTAAAAGTATTAACTGGAATTTAAAAAACAAATCTGGATAAGATTTATTATATAATATGTGCCTGTTATGAAGAGTAATGAATTGGTATGTTTCAAAATTCAAATGAAATTCATTTCCCTGTAGCAAGACCACAAAGACTAAAGCAAACGCAAAGAGAAAGATGTGGTCTCTTGAAAATATCTTCACATTATATAAACCTCAGGTTTAGCCTGAGGTGTTTAGCACATCTCAGGGCATTTTACATAGTAAAGTCTAGACGTTACAGTATTACAGAGAAAAACCCAACAAATCCCCCAAGCACTTGGCGACAGTGGAAAGGAAAGGGAAAAACTCCCTTTAACGACAGAACTGAGCTCTTGGTGCAACTAGACTGTGCAAAACAAGCAATCTGTAACCTTTAGGATTCTTTTTTTCAAAATTACAGGCACCCTAAAACCATTTATCATTTGTTTAAAATAACTTTGATATTAGTCATTTCAGGGTAAGATAAACATTTTCGCATTTGCAGTGAAACCCTGTGGAAAAAAAGTGTTACTGGCAAAGGCGAGATGCACTCATTATGTCAAAGCAAGTATGATAAAGCTGAGCACATTTACTTACTTTCCAATGTTATCTGGAAGAACTTGTAGTGAAATATCATTGATGGAGAGCCATGTTAGATTCCGTAGCTCTGGAAAGCTTTCGGGTAACCTGTAAAAAATAAAGGAGAGGCCACAAGGTCGAGATGCTCGAAAAAAAGGAATCTGCAGAGAATCAAACATTTTAATCTGTCGACCATAAACACTACAAATGAATCCTGGATACTAGAGAAACGAGGACTCTAATCAAACACCTGTGTGTCTGCTGAATTGTAAGCAATGCAAGCAAAGGTTTACCAGCACTTTAGACAAGAAAATAAAAGTATGTGTGTGTATACAGTATGTGCCCACATTCTCACTGTCTAAATGGACACATCATCTGCTTGCTCAAGACGGATAATTTACATATTGTCTTTTGTCAAGTTTTTACTTTAACAAAAAAGCACTGGGGCTGATGGAAAATTAGATTACCACCACGTGTGCCTATGTGTGTGTGCGCACACTACTGAGCGCCAATGCCTTTGTAATGCCTCTTCAGCTATACACTGCAACCAATGTGGTCTTGGCCCTGCTGAGGTGAAAATTAGACTTGGATCTACCCAAACAATGAAGAGCAAATCTTGCACAATCTGTTGAGGACAGTGTTTATAACGGCAGGAATAACAGCAGAGGATCTTAAAAGACAATTCAGACAATGGCAAGACTCATAGATTTTTATTTTATTTAATTGTAATAGTTTAATATTTTTTAAAGATCTACTCCCTGCTTTTTTGTTTGGCCTTTTTTTAAATCTGGATATATATGTCTGCTTATTTATTGAATGAAAAAAAAAAAATAATGAAAGTTTGAAAAAGTACCTTTAAATATAACTGGTAGGTAATATGCAGATGTGGAAAGTAATTAAAAAGTACATTTACTCAAGCACTGTACTTAAGTACAATTTTGAGGTACAGTATTTCTATTTTATTGGAGTTTTATCATTTTCTGCTACTTTATAATTTGACTTCACTACATTTCAAATAAAAGTATTGTACTTTGTACTCACTGCATTTAATTGATAAATTTGGTTGCTACACAATAATACATCAGTAATTATAACTAAATAATAAGATGTACCTCAATTAAAACTGTACCATTTTAAATAATGAGTACTTTTACTTTTTGTACTTTAGGAATATTTTCTGCTAATACTTTTGTACTTTTACCTCTAACATTTTGAATACAGGACTTTTACTTGTAACAAAGTATTTTTACACTGTGGTATTGCTACTTGTACTTAAGTAAACAATCTGAGTACTTCTTCCACCACTGGTAATATGTTGTCCTTTGCACAAAGTAAAACTGTAAGACTACCTTGTTAATGGATTTCCACTGAAATCTGCCACTTGGAGAGCTTTGCAGAATGAAATGCTCTCTGGAATTTCTATAATATCTGAAAAAGAAAGAAGAAGCATTACAACACTTCACAGTCACTCTATGCAGATCTTAAAACCCACAATACAATCAGCAGTAGTTAAATAACATGTCAAAATAATATATTAAAGTTGGCTACTTTAAGTGCAAGTGAAAAACAACAACAAAGCCTTCTGCTCCGTTGCAGGAGAAACATTACCGGTGTATGTAAAGGAATATATTTGGGTTGTCATGAAGAAACCAAGAAATTTAGTTTTTTTTTATGGCTTTTTGTTGCATCAGATTTACTAATGAACAATTCATTTGTTTAATTTCATGTTATCTTGGTCAACTGTACAAACATATTCACACAGATATGAAGTAATTACCCAGAAACACTGTTATAAAATCTAATGTGTAGCTATTGGGTATGTGTTATAATATTCTAGTTTACTTTTATGCAGCTTTGCTATGTCACTGTTTTCCCCGCTTACCATTTCGAGAGATATCCAGTTCTACAAGCTGCATGAAGTTTGCTATTTCTGGTGGAAGTCTCTGGATCTCATTGTCACTCAGGCCCAGTTTTCTTAGTTTCACCAGCTGGAAAAATGGCTGAAAGATAAAAAGAAATATATTCAGTAAAAAAGCTAAAGTAAAGAAAATCAGCCATATGAACTGAATTTACATTTAAAAGAATGGTAACACAAATGACAGGGGTGCTTTTTGTATTACAGCAACATGTATGAACAACTTGTGCTATACACTCATCGAGCACCGTATCAGGAACGTGTACACCTGCTTATTGATGCAGTTTTCAAATCAGCCATCTGATCAAATCTGACCTTTTAGTACACAATGAAGGAATTACTGGCTACACTTGAAATGCATGTATGTGTACAGTTACCGACGCCGTCATAAAACACAGCAAATAAATACTACACACACTTTCTTTTTTTTTTAAATGCATGCTCAGTAGGGCTGATGTAACACACAATCTTCTGTGCACATTTGGAGAAGTACAACTATTGCACTTCATTTTTAGTTGATGTACCCTGGATCACTTTTATCCTGACATTTGTTCAAATGAAGAGGAAAATGGAAAATGTATTTAATATAACGTTTTATTTATTTTCATTAAAGAAACGTTACAAAAATGTGTATGATGTCAATTACGGTTCTTAGAAAGAAAGAAAATTGAAAATGGTCAAAATCAGAATCGGCAAGACTTAAAAAAACAAACATCTAAACCGGCCTACAAATTTGCCATTGGTGCCATAAAAAGTCTATAAAGCTAAAGGCTTATTTGCATTGTGGTGTTGTCATGTCAGTCATGTGAACATGGACCAGAATCTCACAGGAATGTTTCCAATATCTTGCAGAACCCATGCCACGAAGAAGACTGTTCTGAGAGCAAAGGGAGGCCCTACCCAGTATTAATATGGTGTTCTTTATAAAGTGCTCTGATCGTGTATTATATATAGATAGCAAGCACTCTACAGCACTGACACAAAATGAGGAGAGGATGAAAGTGATGTATGAGAAACAAATTACCCCCCCACATGATGACTTTCAATGTTCTGCTCCTTCTGCACAACCTTAATGAAAAGCAAACATGTCCAGCAGCCCTTTGACAAACCACCTGCTGTTTCAGTGATAGGCCAATTCTGAAGAATTACAAACTGCAGGACAAGTGTCCTCACTTGGTTTTTATACAACAGGCCTAACCTAGAATGTCTGAGAGCATGTTTTACTGACTGTTTCCTAGTTAAAAGTTTGTAATACAACTCATAAAATAGTTTGAGGCGTTACAGGTCTCTACTAGGAAGCACAGGGATCCCTACAGAGATCTGTTGTCAATCCTGACAAACGAAGGTCCAGTCGGCACACATTTTTATAAGGCATTACCAGTTTCCACAAGTACATAGTTGGCACCCATAGCAGGAGCAGGCAGAGTCTCGCATGTGAGGTGGCAAAGCAGGCAGCACGCAATACTGCTTTAGGTTCCCCTAAGGTTATGGCATGAACAAAAGAATCTACCTCTTCGGTTTTTACTATCCGAGTGCTGTTGTGTGATACAAAGCAGGCCAACTGGCCATGAACGCAGCTGCTAAAAACATACACTTCTCCTTCATGACTCACTCTATCACTTAAATTGACTGTTATGCTCTTTTGATTTGATGTCCAGTATGTTGCCAATACCTTTGCCTGAATATGGCTACATAAACTATTTTTGTTCTCTGTTCTCATGCACAAGAAACACAATAATGAAACACAAAGGCTATGCGTTCCAAGCAGACGAGCAGATTATCTTGCAGACTTCTACTTTCTGATACTGCTCTATAGTTTTGATGCATTTTTTTTATGCTTTTAAAAATGTGCAACCAATGAAATCCACGGTAACCGTCAGGAATTCCAGTTGCCAGTTTTTTACAGCCAAACTGTTTAATAATCAATAGGTTTTGGCTGGTGTATGGCTTTCAAAACTAGCAGGTGAACTAGCAGGTCATTCACACATTTTAGGCTGTAGGTAAAATTTGTCTGTATATTAAGAGGAAGCTACACCATTGTTCCTCTTTGGTTTCTCTTTATATTACCTTAATATCCGGCAGCTATGTGCTCTGCTAAATGTGGAACCAGTTCCCAGTCTCCGTTTAGGAGGCAGACACCCTCTCTACCTTTAAGCTTAGACTTAAGTCCTTTTTGATAAAGCTTATAGTTAGGACTGGCTCAGGTGACCACGAGCCTACCCTTAGTTATGCTGCTCTAGGCCTAGACTGTTGGGGGGGGGGGCCCTATGATGCTCTGAGCTCCTCTCCTCGCTCTCCATGCATATATATGCCAAAATTAGATGTCAATAACTATATCTTCTCGCTCCTGTAGTGTGTTTTAGGGGGTCCACCAGCACTTGCATGGGTCTGGGACTGTAAAGTCATGCATTGTGCATGCTCCAGAGGATGGCACTGCTTGAGATGGTAAAACAGATTAGTGGTATTTCCTGTCTTATATCTCTGTTGAGGTAAAGTTACTTCTTGAGGTAAAGTTCTCTTTATCGTTTTATCGCCCAGACCTAGTAGACCATATCCAAATATAGAACACTTTTTAATTATGTGTGCACAATAAATACAACCCAAGAGTCCAAAAGTCAAACTCCACCCTATTACATGCTGCACGTCTCAGAGGTCTTAAGGCAGTTTAAACAGTCTTTCAGCCATTGTTTCATTAAGCAAACAAACCTGCAGTTTTACAAGTACCGGTAATAGTTATTTGTCATAGCATTTGGATCTGAGCCACCTTGGTGTCACTTTCACATTTCACTAATTAGAAAACCATTATGGGTGCAGTCTCTTTCTGCTAAGTCAGTCTCCCACTCAAGTGCACAGTTCAATATGATATCATCAGGCTTTGGCTAGTACAGACTTGTTCAGTTCCAGTAACTAACCTGGACTGTGAGACATCGTGACAGTCATACAAGTTCAGTTTTAAGGTTGCTTTTACCAGTGTATTTATCACTTCCACACTTCCTGCTTGAAGTCTGTTACTCCTTTATGACACAGCAATCACAGCTGGAAACAAACACAGGTTCTCTGACACCTTCAGTATCCAAAACAGGCAGTTTCATAGAAGTGATTTTGTCTGGCTTCTTAACCCCCTCGATGACAAAGGAGTAACAGTACATGACTGATTCTTCTGTATTATCAGATTAGTCGCAAATTTGCAACAGGCTTTGTGAGCCTAGCATTAGCATACTGACAGCAAACCTGTTCTTCCGGCTAGTGTCATTCAGCACCGCGCCCCCAGCGGTCATCCATGAGTGAGCCACAAAAACTAAAATAGGTTGAGTCAAGAATGCATTAGCCATTGTCTCAACACCCGAGTCAATGTTTCCATCTTCGGTACTGTGGTTTTGGTGAGTGAGTGCATGGATTTTTGCACTGCAAGTTGTTAAGAGAAGCCCTTAATGTAGTCATACAAAAAAAAGTTAAAAATCAGCAATAACAGTATAACGTAGAAGATATTTATCTAGACTAAGCATCTGTGCCTTTTCATTTATCATGAATAAAAGCTTTTAGAAAATACACAATCAACAAGACCTTGTGTCAGTTACTTCTGCCAGACCACAACACGACAGCAATAGACCCTTACAGTAAGTGAAAGACATTAGCGTCATATAGTTTGTGGTGTCTAGTTCAAGTTTCACAGCAAGGTTATGTGTAGGGTACACGCACATATGCAGGCAGTATTAAATAACACATCAAAGACTTAAGACGGTTTCAACCACAACCACGTCAGAAACTCAACAACTGCACAACCTTTATGACTCTTTCTTTGCAACACCACCTTCTACCAGGTCACATAAGATTTTCCAAGGCAGTCTAACAACTCAGCTTCCTGCTCTGGGACTCTCAGCATCACTTTAAACATGTCAGAAACCCAGAAGCTTCCTGTCTCAAATGGAATACTGCTTCTTCTCACCATCACTACATGTGTAAATGTTGAAAGGCCTTAATGGTGGTAATGGCAACAGAGCTCCAAAAAGGGTACTGATGCCTGAACTAGGGCGACAACTATCATTTATTTTCCATCAATGATTAATCTACACTGTACAGATTATTTTCTCTTTTATTCAGTTGGCCTATAAAATATCAAAAAAACAATTAAAAACAAAAATGTCCACCACAATTTGTCCAGGCCCCGTGGCCTACATATTAAAACTGTACAAACCCCAAAGATATTCAGGATGCTGTCAAAGAAGAGCAGGAAAAATAGCAAATATTCATAGTTGAGAAGCTGGAGCCAATAAACCTTCAGTTAATTAACTACTACTTTCAACTCCAGCATGAACACCAGTTTTGATTTGCATGTTGAATGAGAAAAATAAACATCAGCTATATCTGTCTATTTTATTGCTTGTCAGGATATATAACAAAAAGTATATAATATATACTTTATAATAGATTAATCTGCTTAAATAATTGTTTAATCTATAAAATGTAAGAAAATAGTGAAACATTCTTATTCTACATAGCACAAAGTAATGTATTCAGATTATTTTATTCAACCTATTGTATCATGTGTGACAAGAAAAGCATCAAATCTTAACACTGCAACCACAGAAAGGTTTTTTTTTTCCTTGAGAAATAACTGAAAACATCTTAACATAGATTTGAAAAATGGTCAGTTAAAGCTATCTTCTCTTGCAGAGTCACTGGAGCAGGACTCTGAAAAGTATATGATTTTTTAAACTGGATGAACAGGTAGGGTAAATACATTTCAACAGCCAAATAGTCTTGCACTCCCATTCTTCTATTATGGTAAGTAAACTGCTGTTTAGTAAGCTAATGACTGCTATTTACAAACCAGTCTGATGAGAAGCTGCCTGCTAAAGAAAAACTTTAAATAAACAAAAAAAGACAAGTTGCTTTTTTGCTAATTCAGTCCTCTGTCTCAGCACAAACATACAATCAAACACAAGACAAATAGGGCCTGGCTATTAAACATGCAAACCTGGGCTGCACGTCTCCTCGACTCGCTCAGCAGACTTTACCTTGTACAGCTATTGAAACTAACTGCTTATGTTCAACTTGTCTCATCTTGTTACTGTTTAAAAAAAAATACTTTGCTGTTTCATGTTGAAGTTAAGACTGCCTTGTGCATGTTTATATCCGCTTGCAGAATGAAATGACTCACTTAAAATATTATGGTGGGTGTCTAAGTTATGTGACCTCATTGACAATAAAATAATAAATGGTCAGGGATGATTCAGTTAGCCACCTCCGAGGCAAAAGGAGATGAGGCCACACAGAAGTGGACTGATACAAAGGGATATCCAGTTGGACATTTTTTGGGTTCACTCAGCAAACACTGATTTACATGCCAAAGAGCACAATAAACAGTTTCTCATGTTGGCATGCAAATCCTGCACCATTCTCCCCTCTGAACATATTTAGAATATTTCTAAACTGAGCATAGGGATTGCTAAATTGTGAAACAGTTCTGTGTGTGTGTGTGTGTGTGTGTGTGTCACAATGAGAGTACACCTGCTTTTCACAACCATGCAGGCACAGACAGTGGAAAGAGGGTTAACTAGTTTGTGTACTGTGTGTTGGTCTGCGGTTTTATTGGACAGTACTTTGTAATTCAGGTCAATGATTTGTTACGACTTCATTAGAACAAAAAAAAACAACTGAGGTGACAGCAAAACACATAATGCCGTCTTTGTTGTGAGTCAGAAAACCTGTTCCTGTGCCTTTCTTCACTAGACAAAGTAAGCAGTGAGACACAGCTGACATTATCTCTGTTCCCACACCAAAAATATTCTCTTCTTTTCTCTACGAACCCCTGCAACTACAGACACAATCAATGTATGTTCTGTTTAGAACAAAAACCATCAATGCTAGTAACAATACTCAAAGAGTATGCAGTTCTCTTATTTATGGTGGGAGCCATGAGAAAGAAATGTCACAAAGGTACACAAGAGTCATCGTATGAGCTTTATATCTGATCCAACGTGACTTCAGTTATATTAACTCAGGACAGTTTCTCATGTGGACTAAGCCTCATCCCAAACTCCCTCCACTTGTCAGGAACAGCTGTAAACACAAAATATCACCAAATGTACACCTGGCATTTAAAGGTTACTGTGAGAATGCCTTGTGCAGTTTTGTTGGGTTTAAATTACGCTGTCCAAAGCGGAAATGAGAGCTCTGTCTACATGAAAACTAGTTTGGCTGTAAGAGTTAAAGACAGTATGCTACAAAACCACAAAGTCAATAATCCCTTCATTCACTGCAGCAGCTCCGGGCTATATGAGTGTCAAAGACACAACGGGTCAGACTTTGGGGTTTTCAATTTCAAGTCCAGACAGAGAGAAATACTAAATCAGCCATTCTTGTAAGTGGAAGATAACATGCTAAGGCTAGGCTTGTGTATCCCAAACTCTCCAACCCTGTCAGTAAGTCATACTGAGTCCTGCATGGTTTCTGTTCAACAAAAACAGATCCACTGTGAGGGAGCACATCAGTTCGCCTTGGATTCAGAATATGTGTGTGTCTGTAAAGGGATGTGTGATATCTGGTAGTAGTCAAAAGATAAGGTATGCTTTGTTGTCCTGAATTTTCAAGGCAATCCAGTTGTGGCTGACTTCAAATATGACTAACCCTAAGAACAGCTCTACACTGGATAAATACTTTACCTTGTAAACTGATGTGTCATTGGGGCCAAACAGAAATACCAATGTTTCACTCGTGACAGATTCTCAGATGTGCTGTTATTCTCAGACTTACTTAAACATCATTGAGTTTGATTGGTTGGACAAAACAAATATCTGAAAGCATCACTTTAGGTACTGGGAAACAGCAATGGACCATTCTTCTCTGATATTATGACTAAATGATACGTTAAGGTATCTATCTATCTATCTATCTATATATAGATATATATATATATATTCCGATGTCAACAAACCTTCACCTGACTTAAACAATGTGGTACAGTGAATGTCTGTCTGGCTACCACATCCCCATTAATAATGACATTTCAGATTAATCACAGAGGAAGTATTTCTATGGAACTCCAATACTCATATCTCTTTAAAAATATTACTGAGTCACAAATATTGTACCTGCAGTATTGTTAAGCTCTACCTCTTCTGAAGAATTTTGAGACAAAGGGTATGAGTATTTCCGACCTCAGCATGAGATCACTTGCCTCAACAGGTCTGATATATTAGACACAATGTCAGGGTTTTGCAGTAGGTTTTGAATGTCTGCAGCACCCGGGACTTGTTAACAATATGTTTTATGACCAAACCCCAAACTATTTCTGCTGTACTGCAACAGGCGGTGTGGTTCAGGGGAAAGTTCCTGCCTCTACAGTGAGTGAGCGGAAGCTGGTTTCTTCTTACCTTGGGCAAATCTCGGAGCTGGTTGGCATCCAGCAGAAGCTCCTCCAAACTCCGTCCGTAGCGATAAATCTCATCGGGCACATATAACAGAGAGCAGTGGCTTTTATCGATCGTCTCGACGTGACGGTTGCACCGCCACAGGGGTATGCACTGAAACATCACGGGGGGAGTGAGGACAAATCTCGTACCCGTCCAATAAATAAACAGCGGGAAACACGGGGATGCAACAGATTGCTATGGCGAGACAGTCCTGGATTCACCGTCACACACCAACGAAGCGAAACTCACCGGCAAGAAAACAAGAAAATAAGTCGCGGTAATGTTACCGAGCTAAACCTCCGTCAGGTTGCGACGAACATTGGAGTAACTCTCCGTCGTCGTCACACAACACACACGTTACTTTGTAGGCACCTGTCTCCCCCCCCTCCACTTTAATTCTCGTCTCACGTCGCTCCCAGCTGCTTTAAAACCCTCTTTGTAGCGTAAAACAACTCAGACTACATCTCAGTGTAGAGGCGGGCAGCATTGGTTGTTTCTCTATATCGTCCCGAAGTCAATTTCCTCTCCCGTCCAGTTTCTGACCCGGAACATTCACTCCCTCATTCCAATCCTACGTCACCGTTCCAGGCTGCTCCTCCCTCCAGTCCCTGCTCTGGATAGTCCCGTCCCGTATTGGCCGCCATGATGGGACGCAGAACTGACAACAGTAGTGCTGGAATAAGTACTCAGACTGTTGACTGGAGTGAAAGTAGCAATAATACTACAGTGTAAACACACTGTTACAAGTAAAAGTCCAGCATTCCAAATTGAACTTAAGTAAAGGTACAAAAGTATCCCCATCAAAGTGTACTAAAAGTAGCCTACCAAAAAACTGATTGGCATTTCATACTGCCTATAAGAGCTATCATTATTGGACTAGAATTATTGATTCATTATTGTGTACAGGTACATGGTCACATTTAATGCTGCAGCTGGTTAAGGTGGAACTGTCCTGTTATCTTAGGTACCTACTTTACATACTTCTGGGTAGCTTGTAAATTAACCACCTGGGATGTTGTGATTATGCTGTATTTTATATTCTTAATTTGACTTGTAACTAATCAAATAAATGTAGAGTAGTAAAAAGAATATTTGCCTCTAAAATGTAGTGAAGGTCACACTCAGCTTCAGCCAGCTACAAAGCTGCAAGGTCCTCTATAGGTCATTTTACCACCCTCTTTTGGGCTTCAGGTCTGAGCTGCCCTCATAATTGTCTACCTCTATTGTAGTAGCCCAACTGTAGTTTTGGAAGGGAGAGATAGAAAGAGAAAAGAGACTTGTTCACTCATAACCCCGAGACCCTTTTACTTTCCATTACAACACAAGAAATCTAAAACAGCCAACGTTTTAAAATGTCTAACTTATTCACCAAACCTGTACATGTGAAAATAGCAGCTCACCTCAAACCGATAAATTAAACATGAAGATGGATTCATGATGCAGATGGCATGGCTGCCACAGGTGGTAATGAAGGCTGCAGCTGTGTCAGAGCCATATCTCATATAGTTGTTAAAACACAGCCAGAAAAAAACAAAAACAGACAGGAAGGGTCCTTGATAAACGGTAAATAGATATCTGACCCATGAAACAGCATCCTTGGGATTACAGTGAACTGACAAAAACTGCTTTCATTTTATGTGAACCGTTTGACATTTTTTAAATCTTGGGGTGGATGAGAACTGATTTGAACCCAACTACAGGGTGAAAACTAATTTCTAAACACAGCTTGAACTGAAAGGACATTTACAAATATTTACATTTCAGTATGAAAAACCAGTTCTTTTTATAATAAATATACCATCAGCAAAGACTTTGTTGCAATTGATAACATTTAAACACTTACCCAAAGAGCAATGCCATCTTTGATTTAGTTTGGAAGTGATAAAGATAAATTTACATGAAAACACAGACATTAAGATAATCTGAAAACGTATTTAATTATATTAAAATATATTTAAGGAAAAAACTTCTCTATTTATTCACTAGAGGGAGTCACACCCCTTTATAAACCTACCAGGTATTAGATCAAATAGACAAAGAAAAACACTGAATCATATCATATGGATTTGCTGACTTTATTATCATTTGATATCGAAGTCAATTCAGTTAGAGAAAATATGGCAGTTGTCTGTGTTAGACAAACACAGAATAAGGTGAGCATATTGTCCAAAGCTAAACAATAGAGTGCACTTTCCCCACATCCACACACACTGTAAATACCATCATCATCAACATCATATAAGACCATTTATCTGCGTCCCAGCTGTTTCTTAAATGCTTTTAAGGACTTTGCCATCATTGGAGCAACTCCTGTGAAAACAAAGAAAAAAAATTCTCTGAATTTGAAATTAGTAAAATAAAATGTAAATCCTCAGGATTATATACAAGTAAAATCTGTACAGTACTGCGCAAAAGTCGTAGGCCACCGTTAGATTTGTTTTAGCAGCGTTAGGATGACATATTTATCAGAATACAACTAGAAAATGTATGAAATATTTACATAGTATTTAATTACAAAGCACACTTAAAAAACAGCTGACCAAGGTGCTGTACACAACAGGGTACAATAAGTGAGACAACATAGTAAAATAATAAAACGATCATGATAAGACTGATCAGAGGAGACAGGCGAGGGTTAGTAACCTACTGAGCTGGGTCGAAGGCTAGTGTATAAAAATGGGTCTTAAGTAAACATTTAAAGACACCCAGAGAAGGGGCCAGTTGAATACGAAGGGGCAAATCATTCCACCGTGTCAGGCCTATAGTAGAAAAGGTGTGTTCAAATAAATATATTATCATTACAACCTTGCTAAAACAGCAAAACTAATGGTGGCCTAAGACTTTTACACAGTACTGTACATCCTTCATTCTGACCTTTGAAGAAAGTGACTGGATTAAAATGAAACAAACCAACATTACATATCTAATTCGGCCAGTTTGACCCATTTGGAAAGCTGTAACAGGACTGTATTTACAATACTGTTGTCAACTACTTGTCTACTGACTTGTTTTTTTGCGATGGTCTTGTGTATTGCCTGCCCCTGAACTGGAGCTGCTGGATCGGCTGGGCTCATTCAAACTCTGCTTTGATCGCTTGTCCTGCACCTTGACACTGGAAATAATAGTACACTCATTTGATAAATAAAATTATTTATGTCACAAAACAATGCAGATAAAATCAGAAAATGAGCCTCTATGCACTTTAAAATATCAGTGTTTCACCACAGATAGTGATTATAAAATCCCATGTTGCAACATTCGATGACAAAAGAACCAAGGTCGTCTCTAACCAAAATAAAAACTGTTTATCCAGCATACTGCACTGATTCCTGCGTTTGGCTAAGCTCACTCAAAAGCATTTTACTTACTGTTATCACATACATTTCAAAGCTTGTGAGATAAATGTACAACGGCCCAGTTTTTTTTGCTTATTAACTTGATAATTTAAAACTAATTAGATGAATAATATATAAAAACAGATGAATAACAGGAACTAATCATTAACTAATAAAATAAACCTGTCTGGAAATCTCTATCCTGCTGCTTCACCACTTTACTTGAATGTTTCCATTTCATCCCGCCTTTGACTTTTATTGGATTACATGTCAGCAATAAATCTAATATCACAAACACTTCCCCAAAAAAAAAAAAAAAAAAACTGTCAGCGTACAGAACGTCACAAGGAGTAAACAATATTTTTCTGCACTATACAATGCATCTAAATTATTCACGTTTATGCTCTATTTCACAATGGATGTACTTAGGATTTCTGTGACGGTGGTGTTCAGTAAGAGCTACACACCTCTGGGTTTATTGGAATGTGCTGAGACAATGCTTTTTGTCAGTCTTTGGAGTTTCCGTTCCCTCTCCTCCGACAGCCTGATGTACATCTCTTTCCATGATTCATACTCTTGAAGTTTGGAGTCTTTGAAGTCCCTTTGGCAGTGTTTCCCCCATAAGTGGTCTGTCGCTCCAATGTAGATCTGCAGAAACCAAAGGCCTAATGACAAACACCTGTACGATTGAACAAAATTCTTTTCCAATTATGACTTTTACGACAACTTTTCTAATCTCAACGCAAGGTCTACAAAGTTTAGCAGTTGTTAAAGTATTCCAAATTTATGTTAAGAAACTTTTGCTGACTTGGTTTCAGCATATAAGGATATAGGCAATAAATACTGTCTGGTAGATTACAACAATACTAATGATCACATATACAGGATCTCTACACTCTGGAAAGTGCACGAGATTAACCGTAGTGCCAAAATGTCAATTTTAAGAGGTATCTCTAAGATATTTAAGCCTATATGGCATAGCACTGCGTTATCTACATGTACACTAGTTGCAGAACAGGCACAAGCCTTCGAGGCCACAGACCGCCAAATGTTTCAATAAAAGCCAATAGGATAATCTGCCATATCACCAAATGCTCATTACAGTGACTTGAGTTTAATCCAATATCCTGCCCATCCTGTAGCCCACAGCATGGAGTCAACAGGGGGTCAGACCCAGTACTAGGCAGGTGTACCTCAAGTGGCCTTTAAATGCATGTCTGCACTAAATTTATTCATGTCACTTTCTTACTGGATTGCATTCTTCAACACGCAGCAGCTGCTCTGGTGTACACCTCTCCATCACCGGCTCAAGGATTTCAAACGGGACTCCACCAGTTTCATAAAGCACTGAGAAGAGATTCCTGCACCTAAATATAAATCCTACAAACTGACAAAACATCAGAGCCACACAAAAAGTCATTTGGGCTTCACTCACGGTTGATATTATTTTGGAGTGTGCGGATACACTGTTGGTACAAGCTCATCATGGCTGGGAGGAAGACTGTTTTGGCACCAGAGTACACTTGCATCTTCTTGTTAAGTCGTTGACCAGTGAAGACTGCGGACTCCTCGGAGATGTCACAGAAGTCAGATTCCTTCTCAACTTGAAGACAAAAGGATGAATGTCTATAACAAAATAGCCAATGTGACAACAGCTGAATTTGTTATACACACAGTACCTTTCCTCTCAAAGTACTCAACACTGGATGGCTTTTCACAGTCGAGCAGGACAGCAGGTAAGGGAATACTCATCAGGTCCATTACAGACTGCTGAAGCTTCTAAAATATGAGCATTACCTGTCACTATTAATCAGTCCTGGCATACATTCTGATAGCAAAACATTTAAGTTCGTATGTCAGATATACCTGTTTTGGAGAGGTAACATTTATGGCCATCACAGGTGACTTGACAGATGTGCCAGGGTCTTTTGTCAATTCCCCCTTTACTACAGTCCCAGTTTTTTGGGAAGGTTTCTTCACTCGACATTCTTTTCTCTTGAGAACATTAGCATCATAGTTCAAGTAAGATTCAAAAGACATGGAAGGCTCATCCTGGTCATTGTCAGGTTCCCTGTCTTTGTGCTTTACTTTGGCCTTTTTGTTCCTGTGTTTTGAATGTGCCTCATTGTCAGACTCATGTTCATGTTGAAGCCTGACATGCCTCCGTTTACCCGGTTTTTTCCATTGACTGCTCTGAGCCTCTAAGCTCTCTGATATTCCTGAAGATTTCACATCTTTGACACTAGGCAGTTTTAACATTTTTGAGCATTTGACACTGGACTCAAATGACATAGGTTCTTTACCTTCCTTTGACAATTCTTTTGATTTCTTACTGGACTCTTTTTCTGACCCAAATCTTTTGCTATCAGAGTTTCTTTTCAATTTTTCCCTGGAATCAGATCTGGATTTCTGATGAGTGTCTTCTGAGTTTTTGTTTCCAAGCCAAGTTTGACTGTCTTCTGATTTTCTGTCACTCTGATCATTTCTCCTCTTTTTGGAAACAACATAATCATCCATTTTCTCCTCTTGGATGTAAATTTTCTTCTTCATGATGTCCTTCTGAAAGATGTTTTGGTTTTCTTGCCGATTTTTTTCTGTATTTTCATTCTGATCCCTTTTTCTTTTTTGCTCTTCACGTTGTTGTTTCTCTGAATCAGCTTTCCCGTTCCCCGTTTTAAAGTGGACCTCATCTGAAGACTCCTGACTATTGCTCTGAGGGTTTAAACAGTTATTGTTTGAATCCTCCACTGTCAAACTTCCTGCATTTGAACAGTACGAGTCATTCAGCTCGTCTTTAACAGACATACTCTCTGATATATCCCCATCTTCTGTGTGGCTGCAAATTCAAGATGAAGATGTTTTAAAAAAAGTGCAATCATATTATACAGTTAAATAAAACTTTAAGGTTAAAATATTTCACCTTGTGGAGTCCTTGGGGATCAGTTTCTTCCAGCTTTTAACTAGCAACTTGGCAAATTCTCCAGCCTGTTTATGTCTGCGCAAGGTGTTAACTGTTTTGCCAATTCCAGTTTCCTAATTTGCATGTAGACAATAATTAGTGCAGACATTGAAACCTTGTATGCAAGTATAAACACAAAATCCATTTCTTGCAAAAGAGACTCACAGCAAGAATGTCTAATGTGATGTCCAGATCCTTTAGTTTCTGCAAAATGTTTATAACCTGGAAAGAGATAAACACAAACACACAAATCCCTGCTTGGTGCATTATATGATAACCATTTCAAAAATCTTTGGGTTAATGTGCTCATTTTTTGCACACATTTAGGACAAAGATCTGCTTAAAAAGCAAACTAAACTGAAGATCTGACCTGCCAAATACGGCAGTGCATTCTGGATCACCACAGTTGCCGATTGTGCATTCAGAGTATAAGCTATGTATGGGAAGCTCACACACAGTCTTAGACTGCTCCTTTTACTGTGAACTATAAATGGACAATGCCACTGCTGGCTGTTATAGAGTCTCACTATATGACTTAATTGGTTGTTTTCAGGTTGTGCAGCTGACATTTAATTGTATCTAAAAATCTAAATATTTGGCCGATTTATAAATCCATCTTTAAACAAAACTGACTTAAACAAGCGTGCAGAGCCTTCGTGGATGACTGACACCAAGCCATAAGTTCAACAACTGGAGGAGTCGCCAATTTTAGCTACAGAGACCCTCCCATTTAAACCGGCCGACCCTTAATACGTTGTGTGGCTGCAGAAGCGCTCATGACAGTGACAGAAACCACGTTTAATCAGCTACTGTTCACGCGATAATCAAGGACACGGACGTAAGATGGACAACATGAAAGAAAAAACACAATATTCAGGAGGTGGGACGGTCAAGTCATCACATTTCACGTCTCCATAGCGTCCAACTTGATACAGTGGTTGTATGTTACTTAGACCAATTTGGCTTCTAACTCAAGTTATTTAAAAACAGTGGTGTTTTGTTTGTTTGTTCTAAATTAATCTACACGAAATTAATCGTGACCAAACAAAACCACCAGTGAACGATTGTGGAAGTGTTTAAACAAAAGCCGAATGTAGGGGCTAGTAAATGTATCATTAGAATAAAGTAGACCAGAGAAACGGGAGCCTACTACAGAGACCTACAGCAAACTGTTTCTGGTCTGGTTATTGAGTCCACTTGTTTAGAAAAGCACATCATATCTACCGTAGCAGAGTCTGCTTTGTCTGTGAGCTGACGTTTGAACCGCATTACTTTCTTCACCACACGAGAGCTGCTGGCCATCACGGTGATTCACGTGCTACCGCGTCCACACGCACCGGGCAGCGCGCCCATTGATGACACTATTATTATAGGCGGAACCAATGACAGAAATAAAGTCGGTATATGGCGTAGAAATCATTAAACACGCAGATATAAGTCATATATGACCAAAATTTAAAAACACTTTTTTTTTTTTGCTACAGAGAACTAAGAATATTAGGCTAAAGAAAATAAACTACCTTTCTGAAATTTGCCCCTCAGCCTCCTGGGGAGTTATTGGACCCTTAAATGCACATGTGGGGCTATCCATCAAATCAGAAACAGCAACCAGGCGTGCTGATTTGAAATTTGTTATGAATGACATAATGATTTTCCCCTAATGTGACATGAAAGGATTTTTAAAAAATTCAGTTCTCCTTTCAAGAGTTGAGACATGATGTAATAATCATGACTCCTATCTTATTCTGAACAATGAGAACATAAATCATGTTTACTTCTTCAGCTGACATTGACCAATACATCAGGCAAAAAAAGAAAGAAACCAAACCTGGACATAGATAGTGGTGACACTTCTGAAACTGCAGAATGCAACTGTTTTTGTATTTCTCCTTAGACCTTTGTAGTCCTCTGCACAGATAGCTCACATATTAAATGTTCTGATGGTTGTACTGTGAGTGTCCTATGTGGATTTCAGATTTTATTTTCTCCAAATACATTCTGTTTATTTCCATTGACATTGTCACATCCAACAATACAACTAATTCTATTATTAGAAAGGTTTTACTATAGAATTGTAAAATAAATTGTATAAAAATTATTTGTACCTGGAGTAGGCTGCTCTTTGTATGTAGTCTAATATTTCTTGTAAACAATGAAGACTAATCAACTCTTACTGTCCCATTAATGATATAGTAGGTCCAGCCCCTGCAGTATGTTGACATCAACTGATTGGAGGCTGCTGTGGGACACTTTATGTTGGGGGTGCATGTTCCTGCCCTCTGCCACATGCATTGCACAATACTTGATTGGTACTCACTACCCTAGAGGAGGAGTTAACTAAATGTCTCTTTCAGCAGGGGTGACTACTGGTCTCTCTGTCCTGCTCCAGTAACTGGAGGCACAAGTTCCTTCCTCACCAGCCTAAACTTCAATTTTTAGGTAAGTGAAGCTTTCCCATGCTTGACTGTTTGCAATTTTAGCAATAAAAAAGGCAATGTGGTACAATGATCAGGTATACCACTTAAGGTTTGCAGCATTTTAAAACAGAAAACCTGAGCTTCAAATGGCAAAAAAGAAGCAGTTTTATCTTTTCATAAAATGGGTTTTTATTCATAGCTATTGTGACAACAAGCATCAGGTTTGCTGATCTGAAACAAATAAAATAAAGAGACAAAAATGAGTATTTGCCCTAATCTGATTTTAAACAGAGGACATGAGGTCTGCTGTTCATGTCTGACAGTCTATAAAAGGAACGTCATGGGTGAGCAGTCCAACGTTGCTATTCCTGGACATGCTGCTGATAAATTGTGACAGATGCAAAGAGGGGCATGCTGACGCACTCACACACTCCAACATCACCTGGTAGCATGCATGTTTTCAAAGGGTGGCACAATGAAGTCCACTAACTCCAAAATCTTCTAGAACTTTCCTCCTTAGATCCAACTTGTTAAATGTACAGGGATTTGATGTTATTGCTTATTGGGGCAACAAGTGCAGCACATACAGTAGAGAGTGCAGAAGTGTAGCTCAATACACACACACACACACACACACACACACACATTTTTTTTCTGGCTGACTGACATGATCCAACTTTGATTTCTGCGCAGTGTCTGTTAGTTGTAATACAGTTTTCTGACAAGTTTCATTTATATTTTCAGAAGATCTGGGCTGTGTTCTGCTGCTGCAGCTATGGCACCCAAAAAGAACAAGGCAACCAAAAAGAATAAAGGAGACATTAATGAAATGACCATAATGGTTGAGGACAGCCCCATCAACAAGATCAATGGGCTAAACACTCTGTTAGAAGGGGGAAATGGCTTCAACTGCATTTCAACTGAAGTTACTGATTCTGTGTATGCACCTAACCTGCTGGAGGGTTTGAGCAACATGAGACATGAGAGCTTCCTCTGTGATTTAACAGTCTCCACCAAGTCAAAGTCATTCGATGTTCACAAAGTTGTCATGGCCTCCTGCAGTGAATACATCCGAAACATCTTGAAGAAGGATTCAACCCTCCAGAAGATCGAGCTGAACGACCTCTCACCTGTCGGTTTAGCCACTGCAATTACTTATGCATACTCTGGAAAGCTGACCCTGTCACTGTACAGCATTGGCAGCACTATTGCTGCAGCCATGTTGCTGCAGATTGGTACCTTAGTGAAGATGTGCAGTGATTTCCTCATGCAGGAGCTAAGCGTGGAAAATTGCATGTATGTGGCCAATATTGCTGATGCCTATAACCTCAAAGAAACCAAGGAGGCAGCTCAGAAGTTCATGCGGCAGAACTTCATTGAGTTTTCTGAGATGGAGCAGTTCCTTAAGCTCACCTATGAGCAGATCAGTGATTTCCTCTCAGATGATTCCCTGCATCTTCCCTCTGAGATCACAGCCTTCGTGATTTCCTCTCAGATGATTCCCTGCAGCTTCCCTCCGAGATCACAGCTTTTCAGATTGCCATGAAATGGTTGGACTTTGATGAGAAGAGGCTGAAGTATGCGGCAGATCTCCTAACTCACATTCGCTTTGGCACCATCTCTGCCCAAGACCTGGTGAATCACGTCCAGAATGTGCCTAGAATGATGCAAGACCCCGAGTGCCACCGTCTCCTTGTTGATGCTATGAATTACCATCTACTGCCATACCAACAGAACATCCTCCAGTCACGCAGGACAAAAGTACGTGGTGGCCTCAAGGTGATCCTCACAGTCGGTGGACGCCCTGCCTTGACAGAGAAATCTCTCAGCAAAGATGTTCTCTACAGAGATGTAGACAACGTGTGGAATAAGTTGACAGAAATGCCAGCAAAGAGCTTTAATCAGTGTGTGGCCATCTTGGATGGCTTCCTGTATGTGGCGGGTGGTGAGGACCAGAATGATGCAAGGAACCAGGCAAAACATGCAGTCAGCAACTTCTGCAGGTAAGAACTACCTGATTTAAATTCTGCATTTGTCATATTGTTGTTGTGTCAAACTATAAAATACCATTAAATGTTTTCTCACACTCTTTAGATACGATCCCCGCTTCAACAATTGGATTCACTTGAGCAGCATGATCCAGAGGCGCACCCACTTCAGCCTCAACACCTACAACAGCCTCTTGTTTGCCATAGGCGGTCGAAACTCTGATGGTGTTCAGGCCTCAGTGGAGTGCTATGTGCCCTCCTCCAACCAGTGGCAGATGAAAGCTCCCATGGAGGTGCCCCGCTGCTGTCACGCCAGCTCTGTCATCGATGGCAAGATCCTTGTATCTGGAGGCTACATCAACAATGCCTACTCCAGGGCTGTGTGTTCATATGACCCCTCCACTGACAGCTGGCAGGATAAGACCAGTCTGAGCACCCCTCGTGGCTGGCACTGCGCTGCCACCATGGGAGACCGAGCCTACGTCATCGGTGGCAGTCAACTGGGAGGTCGTGGGGAGAGGGTGGATGTCCTCACCGTCGAATCATACAACCCTCACAATGGGCAGTGGAGCTACTGCACACCTCTTCACACAGGGGTGAGCACAGCTGGTATTGCCATTTTGAACAACAAGCTCTATCTCCTGGGAGGCTGGAACGAGGGGGAGAAGAAGTACAAGAAATGCATTCAAGTTTACAACCCTGACCTCAACGAATGGACCGAGGATGATGAATTACCTGAAGCTACAGTTGGTATTTCATGTTGTGTTGTCACCATACCCACACGGAAAACAGGAGAGTCCAGAGCCAGTTCAGTTTCATCTGCACCCGTCAGTATATAGGTGTTTAAATGATAATAATAATGTAGTTTACATTTCTCCATCTTGTCTGTTGCATCACTCTTGGTTTTAAACTCTACCAACAATTCCTTTTTGGAGGCTTAGATGATCCATTTAAATGGTTGTCATTTTCTTTAGATGGGCAAAAATGAGTTAAATGCAGAGATTCCACATTCAGGAACACATTCTGTAAACACTTTTCAAAAAATTCCATTCATTCGAAACAAACTCAAGTGCTGTTTTCAAAGAAGAAGCCAAAAGCTTTGAAATATATTTTCAGTACTTTTCAATTTAATAATAAAATGTTAGATAATGCTTATGATAGAGACAGACAGTAACCAATTTTATCATTTTTAAAGAGAAGTCTTCTTTGGGGCCAGTTCAGCTGGGATTATGTCACTAGCCCCTTTTCTATAACAAATGTTATTTTAACTCAAATAAAATAAATAAAAATGCAAAATCTAGTTGTTATGATGATTAATCTGTTACATAACTGTTTTTATAACCCAGTACCATGGAAATTATAATGCTGATCTGTTACATAACTGTGTTTATAACCCAGTACCATGGAAATTATAATGCTGATCTCTGTGACAATCCTGTTTATGTTGACTGTAACTACTGTGATTCTCAGGTACTTGAACAAAATAATTAGCGGTAGAAAGCTGAAGCTGGAATAAGTTTTGGCCTCACCTACCAGGAGTAGGTACTTCTTCTGATTAGTATTTAAATACACTGACACCTCACAGTAAGAATGCTGTTTCTCTACATTTGTACAGTATTCAGTAGTCTTGTGTCATCTGTTATGTGATTGTCATATACATTGCCACTGTAAAGGAAACAGATTGTACTGGGACAATGCTGAATGGTGAGGGCTGAAGGGGTTTAGATGTGACAGCAATAAATCATTTTGTAAACAACAAAAGGAGAAATAAGGCTTGGAAATCATGTTGTCAACCTGAGCTTTTCTGGACGTGAATTCCTAGACATGTCTTTTTTGTTTGTTTGTTTTTAAATTAACAAAATTAGGTGGGCTACACCCTGGACAGGTCGCCAATGCATCGCAGCTTTGAGCCTTTTATTTATCCAAATTTATGACAATGAAAAGTTTTCTTTTTCATTAATTCTGAGTCTTTTAAAGAAATGTATTGACACTTTTACTAAAAAAAAAAGTAAGGTATGGTTTATTTTTGACCAAGATCAATAAAAAAAATCCTACATGTATGCAGGATTGGTTTTGCTATAGTGGCTTTCTTTGGTATATTGGGAAATTACTGAAAATGCCAAGTTAATATTGGTACTTAGCTTGATGACTGAAAAGTGTCTCTGTGCTGTGAAAACAGCAATGTGGGGATTTAGTTTCTAATTCGCATGGTGTTCACTGCAGTTTGTAGATAATGAAGAACAAATGTTGAGGCCATTTAGGGCGCTGCCTCTTTGTTTTTCATATGAATCATGAAGTACACGCTTCTGACTTTGTTTTTAATCCTGCATCAACACTGTCAAGGGGTATAATAGCAAGTCTTATTTTTAGATCTGGTGAATTCAAATTAAACAGCTTGCATAATTCTGAAAAAGATTTGAAGAGCTATCTCAGTCAGATTTGCTGCCATCTCTATTGTCTGTCATTGTTAAAACCCTCTCGTCCCACAATGCTGACAGATGCTGTGGACACTAAATAAAAATGACCAGGACTGGTTTTGTTTACAGTCAAGAGATGATAGTAAACTTGACTAACTTTGATTACTAACAGATAGGATGTGAATAATCACTCTGATGGAAACTCGACAATCAAAGGAAATGAAGTGTTTGTCAGAGTGTTGCAGGTTAAACCCATTCAGGTCTGTGACTTATGGCCTGGTGCACACCCATCCAGTAGACCTACACACCCACTCAGGAAGGTCAAGTGCACTGTCATCGTTACAAGCTCCTTTTTCCTTTTGACAATGTTGCATTTAAGTTCTCGCAATAAGCTTCTCATATAGGCTATAGTAAACATTCCTTTTAATGCTGTGAATTGATGAGACAAGGGACCCATTATATCATTACGGTAAATAAAATAGCTTTGGGGAAAAAATGCATGGCTGCTTTGAATTGCCATTGTCTTATGTAGTCTTTTTGATAACTTTTTTAAGGGGCTGCTGGTAAATCTGCCAAAAGGGTGAAAGGTTGCAATTTTAAAAAAGTTTAATCAGTTTGTTTTACATAATTTTTTCCTTCCATTTTCAACATTGTCTACATATGAGAAGTCTATATGAAATTGATTAAGTAAGGGTTGGACTGCTGTTTGGACAAAACAAGCTGAGGACATCATAGGTGGGCTACACAATTTTATCCAGAATTTAATTTTATCCAGAACTTAAATAAAAAGGAAAAGGGCAAAATTAAAAGAAACATATCATACTGTACTATTCACAATAAACAGACCATAATTATTGTCATTATCAATAATTCTGACATTTATTGCCATGAATAATCGATTGATTATTAGAAAATATAGTTTATAATGACAATCATTATTCCCCAGAGCCCAAGTTAAGTGTAAAATCTTGTTTCATATGTCTAAACCATAAATATGAGAAACTACATATACTATTTATAGTCACTGTTGAGAAGTTGGTGCTGGTGAATTTGTGGTATTTTTCTTTTAAAATGACTTAAACATTGTTCAGTTTTTAAAAATTGTTGCCAATTAATTTTCTGTAATTCAACTAACCGAATAATGAACTATTCATTTAATCTATAGAGTACTAGTCAAAATAAAAAAATAAATAAAACTACCCAACAACAAGGGCCCAACAACATATTAGCCTCAGGGCCACGCAAGAGGCTTAAAAACGGCCATGTCTGTGGTTTTCCTAGGAAATGTAAAGTTAAGACAAAGAGGACCAGGATAATATTGTGATGTTTGGAATTTTCGTATAACTGGATCACAAAATATTACCGTCCTGTTTATAAAAAGGACTCTTTTATCCCGTGTATTTCTACCTTGTATATATGTCGTTGCTATTTCCGACAGCAATTGAACGCACTATCACCGCCTGCTCTGATTGACTGGTCAGGGAGGAGCTGAGCAGCCAAGAATGCAGAGTCATCGTGACGTCCCTCCGTGCTCCGCCTCGCCTGGTGACATCACGTGTGTGAAGCCAAGGGATACGGTTTTATGTTCAACACACAGCCCATTTCAGCGAAGTAGATTGGTTTGGCAGTAACGACTTACGTGTCGGTCCAGTTCATTGTCATAGTAATGCAGAACTGCACAGCTTAACAGGCTCCGTCCAGGGTCGTTAACTCAGCCAAAGGAGGGATACGGTTTTATGTTCAACACACAGCCCATTTCAGCGAAGTAGATTGGTTTGGCAGTAACGACTTACGTGTCGGTCCAGTTCATTGTCATAGTAATGCAGAACTGCACAGCTTAACAGGCTCCGTTCAGGGTCGGTAACTCAGCCAAAGGCGAGCGGGAACTCTTTGTTTTTGGTGGAGCGGCGTTATCGGCTCACTGGTGTGTTTTACCGAGCTTATCAGACATTAGCAAGTGATGAGCAGGGGCCTGCTTCTTCTGGATGCCCAGCTAAGCTTACCGACAGGGCACGCCGCTTAACAGCAGCCACAGACTCTGATTTCAACGTGTAAACTCTCAGACATCACCTTAAGGATGCAGATGCTGCTGTTTATTTAGACCGAGGCTTCATGCTATCTGTGTACGAGTTTGACAAACTCGGTAGCTAGTTAACACTCGGCTTGCAAGTTCAGGATCAGCAGTCGGCAAAGAACCCTCAGCCTTCAGCGTACACATAACAGCCTATCTGTGCGATGGGTTTACTGTCACAGGGGTCTCCATTGAACTGGGAAGAAACCAAGAAGCATGCTGACCATATCAGAAAGCACGGCATCATTCAGTTTCTCAACATCTACAACAAGGTGAAGGAGCGTCAGAAAGATGTGTTGAAATGGGGAGATGAGGTGAGAATCGTTTTCCCTCTCTATTAAACCATGTGCAAGATGCTGTGTTGCTTCCCCTTCATGCTTTAGTCATGATGATTGTGCATGATGCAATGGGGCTCTTTAATTGTTACAGAAAAGCTAGATGTACTGATTCTACTCCCACACCAGGAAAAAAAAGAAAACATTTGTCATACATAACAAAACACAAGTGCAGTTTTAAAAATAATCTTTTGGAGTAGTGACAGAGCAGATTTTTTTAAAAAACCAGATCCTTCAGACAGTATCTCTACTACTTCAGGCAGCCACTCCCTGTTCAACTATAAAGAAATGTAAAGCCTGCTATACAGCATGTTGGTGCATGTGTCTTAGCTGGTTGGGGTATTATTTTTTTAAGCTAGTTGGGTGTTTGTTTTTTTTTTTTTTTTATACTCAGCTTTCATTTCTAGTGTTCGCCTGCTACCACTCCACGAAACCACAGTGCTACAGCTTGAACAAATAGTTTTGATTTCAAACAATGTGGAGTGCTGTTGTTGTAGATTAATCCCACTTTTAGGCAGGGGATTATAGGGTACGGACTCAGTCATTGAAACATGACTGATGAATTGGAAGTGATGTGATGGCATCCCAGTTTGATCTTGCAAACGTTGGTTTTGTCATCTAGCACCCGCTGAAAGCATCTGTCAAATTAATAAAGCAGTGACCATAAGTCAGTGTTTGCAGATTGAAAGGGTCTTTTTTGCTTTCAGGTCGAGTACATGTTGGTGGAATTGAATGACAAGGATGAGAAGGTTCAACTTTGCCTGAACGGTGGAGATGTTTTGGAAATTCTTCAAGACCAGGGTGAAAAGATAAACCCCAAGTAAGTAAGCGTATTACCTTTAGTTAAAGATTTAAAGTCTTTATACTATGTAGTTTTAAAGGATGGAGGCCATAATTTTTCTTTGGCTACATCTGTGATACCTTCTTGTTTTCTTACTTCCTAAAAGATGTACAGTTTAGTTTTTGAAGACATACTGAGCGAAGGTCACTGTCTGGAAGCCACTCAGCTGGGTCACAGAAATAGCAGCACTTAAGGCTAATCTGTCTAGTTTATTTTCAGCCAGAAGAGGGAGACTCAACTGACACCAGAAACTGCTCCCAAATGCTCTTTGCCCTTCCCATCAGGTCCTGTTTTCTAGCAACAGCGTAGCCTCCAGTCTGAAGCTAGCGTTAGCAGACTCGAGCTTGATTTGTGGTTCTGTGTAGAGCTTATGCCATAGGCTACATAAGTGGCCTACGCCGTTGTTGGCATTTATACTTGCGTGCTGATTTGTCTGTGCCACTCTGCAATTACACCACCAAAATGCTCATTGATTGTAGGGTTTCTGTGGCACTGTGTTGCATTTCTTCACCACTTACTAGCAATGGTGACTGAAAGTGAGTGGAAGTTAAAACTAATAAATGTTGCACAGCAGTTACTTTTACAGAAGCACGCATCCCTGGGGGGCACCTGTGCTGATAGGCCGGGTGCTGGATGTGGTTTTCCCCAGCCTCACCCGCTGCTTCCTGTCCATCAGAAAGTTGGTGATCCGCTGACAGGTGGGGGCAGGCACAGTGAGCTGGGTAAGTTTGGAGTGGAGGAAGTCTGGGATAATGGTGTTAAATGCTGAACTGAAGTCGACAAAAAAGATTTGAGCATAGGTCCCTGTTGAGTCGAGGTGTTTCAGGGTGTAGTGCAGTGCCATGTTGACTGCATCATCCACTGACCTGTTTGTTTGATAAGCAAACTGCAGGGAATCCAGCCGGTGACGCTGACAGGTGGGGGCAGGCACAGTGAGCTGGGTAAGTTTGGAGTGGAGGAAGTCTGGGATAATGGTGTTAAATGCTGAACTGAAGTCGACAAAAAAGATTTGAGCATAGGTCCCTGTTGAGTCGAGGTGTTTCAGGGTGTAGTGCAGTGCCATGTTGACTGCATCATCCACTGACCTGTTTGTCCGATAAGCAAACTGCAGGGAATCCAGCCGGTGATCTACAATGTCCTTCAGGTGGGTCAATACCAGTCTCTCAAAACTGAAAAGGCAACACACATCTCTTTGACAGATTGTCAGAGGTAGTGGACTGATGGGGGGGAGAGGAGGGGGAGGTCGTCCTAGGGGAAGAGGAAGCAGCTACTGGTTGTGAGTCCAAGATGAGTTGAGAGAGGGGTGAAGAGTTTTGCCTTTCAAACCTACAATAAAACTTATTCAGCTAGTCAGCCAGCTTATGGCTCTCCAAAATGTCCTTCAGGTGGGTCAATACCAGTCTCTCAAAACTGAAAAGGCAACACACATCTCTCTTGTACCTGGTGATGTTCTCCTCCACACAGACAATGGTTCATTGGACTGACACTGATTTTTTTTCATACTTTCCAAGTAGCTCCTCTTTGTTACTCTGATCCCCCTTTGTCAGTGTGTTTCTGGCCTGTCCCCACTCCTGTAGGCCTTCTCTTTGGCATGACGGAGCCATTTGAGCTTCACTGTGAACCAAGGTTTATTGTTATTGTATATGGAAAGAGTCTTAATGGGCATGCACATGTCCTCACAAAAACCGATACGATGTCACCGTGTCATTCTACTCATCCAAGTCTAGCTGCAGCCTCAAAGATACCCCAGTCTCTACAGTCAAAGCAGGCCTGTAGCTTTGACTTTGCCTCTTCAGTCCATCTTTTCACCTTTTTGACCACAGGCTTTGCAGCTTTGAGTCTCTGCCTATAAGTGGGAATGAGGTGGATCATGCAGTGGTCTGAAAGCTGAAGAGCTGCACGGGGACCAGAGTGGTAGGCGTCCTTGATTACTGTATAACAATGGTCCAGTGTGTTTTTGTCCCTGGTGGGACAACTAACATGTCTGTATTTGGGCAATTCGTGAGTAAGGTTTGCTCTGTTAAAATCACCTAAAATAATACTCAGGGAGTCTGGGTGTTTCTCTTCCATACTTATCGGGTTGGCTAGGAAATGCATTGCATTTCTAACACAGGCCTGTGGAGAAACATAGGTACCAACCAGGATAAACGAAGAAAACTCTAGGAGAATAAAAAGGTTTACAGTTAATGGATAATGTCTCTAAGTGTGAGTTACAAGTTCTGTCCAGCACTGTAATGTCCCCACACCAACCTCCATTAATGTAAAAGCAGATGCCTCCTCCTCTCTTTTTTCCAGATAGCTCTTTCACTCGGTTTGCTCTGTAGATCTGAAATCCTGGCAGCTGAACAGTCTCGTCAGGGATCGAGTCGTTGAGCCGTGTTTCCACAAAGCATAATGCCGCAGAATGTTAAAAGGGAATGAGATTAGCTAGATGTATTGCCGAGAGTGGCGATCGGTACACCTGCCGTCGTACACCGGCCCTTCTCCCCCTCCAGCACCTCCACCACTTCCCGATAACAGCTGCTGCTCCGCCAGCTAAAATGTTCAAACAGCTTCCACCATCGATGAAAACCGGGGAGAAAATGTCCAGACTGAGCTCACGGATGTTCAAAAGCTCATCCCTCGTAAAAGTAATCCGGGCAGGGTTGCAAAAAACCAACATGAACAACAGAAAACACACGGGAGCACATGTCTGAGGCAGCCCTGGTTGGCGCCATGATGAAGCCAGTCACGCTGACCTTAAACAAAGCTTGAAGTACTCAAAGTAAAATCATTAACCCAGTGCAGATGCTATTTTATGACCATGCTAGGTTGCTAATATTATTAAACATTTGCTTTAGATGCTAACATCCATAAAGAGGAACGGCAAGTCTGAATTAAATTAAATCCTTTTAACACTGTCCATTTAAAAAAAAAAAAAAAAGCTAAACCAACCCTGGTTTGTCCCATTTTCTGTGCAAGAGAGCACAACCTTTTTGGTCTATCAGAGTAAAATCTTAGTTAATGCACTTTTAAATTCATATCTGACGTTTAAATAAACACCATACCTTAAAGGCCAACAATCATGACAGTGTTCTTAGTTTAATGGGTTGATTTGGATCATAGCGAGCTGCTGCCTGGTTGATAGTGATTTAGATTAAGTCTGGTTAAAGTAATCCTCACCGACTGTCCTAAAATGTAGATACAAGACTAGACTCTGTATAAAAGGTAAATCAACGTACAGACACACTTCAGTAGGTATTTGTTTTGTTACTAAAGCCACTACACACCCACACCGGTGTGTTTTACTTTGGCTCAATCTCTGGGTTGCACCAAAGCTGTATGAGAGGCATCGCCTTTTTGCAAGTATATGCAAATATGAAGAGTGGCAGCAGAACACCAACACAGTACCAAACAACTTATTGTAAGATTCGTAGCTCTACCCATAATCCAAATGTTGGCATGCCCTCACTTGTTATCCACTGCTTCAGTTTCTTTGAGATCATCATATGAAACAATTTGAGAATGAACTTTGGTTGAACTGCCCTGTGATGGGATGTAGACATTTAAGGTGTCATAGTAGTGGATGCAGCATAATGAAGGCATTGTCATCATGCAGACAAACGCACTGAATTTGCCTACAAGCTCAAACCCAGCTGACTCTAAATTTGACTTTCAGAGTGACCATTCTTTCATGTTACCTGATAACAGATGTACAAGGCCAGTATTGTTTTGCTCCTGTGGAAACCTGATCCTTTTAAACACAGTGCTGTGGCATAAAAAAAATGTATAAAGGGTTAAAAAGGTTTAAAAGCCTAAATGTCACATGTTGGTGCCATTAATGAAGTCTTTGAATTTCTGTACTAATGTCTGTTACTTCCTGCAAACAGTATGTCATTGTGTTAGACTTTCTTGCTATGCACAAGTTCATTAGCAGATATGTAGCTGTTTATCATAAATACAAATATCCTCTACTCTCTTTGTATATGTATGAAAATCCTCTCTTCACTTTGTCATCACGCCATTAGAAGCAGCTAAGGCTGAGTCATTTTTTTAGTGCTTTTTTTCTGCTTTAGGTTTCACTGACAGATTCCCACAAGCTCCTTCAGGTCAGCTGGGAAGTGTCTGTGTAAACAGTTTTTAGGATGTTGTGTGTTCAAAGACCTGGAACTGGTGAGTCCCGATCGCACTTCTCGTTCCTCCCACTGAGGGGAGGGTTTTTCCTTTGGCAAAAAGCTTAAGTTTGTTTACTAGGCCATAGAGTTTTTGTTCCTCATTGGGTGCTGTTACATAGACTGAAGGGGGCTCTTTTATGATGGCAGACATGATTCCTACCAAACTGTAGAGGATCCCAGAAGTTGTCTGTGGTCTCCTCTCTGACAAAGGTCGTCTTAC